TATGGCGGATGGCGGCGGGATCTCTACCCAAAAACATACGCAATTATGTGTTTTTTATTAACTCCTGAGATCCATGCCTTCGGGAGAAGAAGAGTTCGTTCAGTGTGTTCAGTTGAGCTCCTCCACTCGCCATTAGGGGGGTCCCACACACGCACTCTCTATATAATTTTAACACATGCTGCGTTTTGGGCCTTTCGTTTCTTGGTCTTTCTTCTGCCTGCTTTTCGCTTTTCCCATCTTCTTTCTTTTTCTTTGTTTTCTTTTTTTTTTTTTGGCACTGCAACATTTCCCTCTTGGCTTAATAACTTTATTTAGCTTAGATGGAGTCGGAGTCGGACTTCGAGATGAAGATGAAGATGGCGTTGGGTGAGCCGTGTGTGGCTTAAGCTGGGCAAGAGGATCGGCTGTGGCTTTGGGGCTTGGTATTAATTAGTGCGATTGGTCCTTTGTGAACCCAGGCACCATAAACCGCAACAAAGGGCTGGACAAAAGGCTCAACTTTGGTGTTGTATTATTTAGACATCAGGACTTTGATTGATGATACTTTTGCCTTTGGAGTTGCATGACCCCGGGTCTTAATGGCTAACTAATAGCATTTAAAAGGGGCAGAAGAAATATTAAAAAAAAATATAAGGAGCTGGAATTAAGAATAATAAAAAATTATAATAAATTCATTATACTTCCTAAGACCTTAGCTTATAAGTTAAAAAAATTAAAATAAATAGTATTTGAGTGAGAACAAATATTCTAAGAATATAATAATTATAGAAATTATAAAAAAATATAAGAAGCAGTAATTAAGAACTTTAACGAATGGGTAAAAACATATTACTTCATAGATTTTAGTTTTTAATAATAAATAAATACTATTTGTAAAAATTATAAATATTTTATTAAGTACCATTCTTTATGGCTTAAATAATTCTTTAAAAAATTTAAATAAATAACATACACCCAAGTTCATTCCTCCCCATTAAAGTTACATAAAACAAAAAACTTTTTTATCGTTTAATTTCCTTTTAAAACCTTATATAACACCCTTTCCCACCCTGACTGAAGGGTTAAACTCATTTTTCAGATTACAAGTCAAATTAGCAAAAGGCCCAGGAACCACACACAAAAATCCTGCGCCACATGGAACAATTAAACAATTCATTTATCTTAATTTGTCCGCAATTTCCTTGGGATCACCTTGGGATCCCAGCTGTTCCGCTGGCTTGAAAAAAAAATTAACAAAAAATTTGAAATTAATTGCTGCCTGCGACTTTCGTTTCGTTTCCATTTCTGCTGTGTCATAATCTTCACACCCGAAAAAAGGATTCGCCATCGCAGACAGATCCCAAAGGTTGGAGGTTGTAATCTTTAAATAATTTAAGCCAATTCGCCGTAAACCGTTAAAGGTCGGGCTTGGAGTCGAGACCAGGGCGTCGCCCATCCATCTGCGAACCGATCCGATCTCCTCGAACCGATCTGTGTTAATATTTGCTCACGATCATCGGCTTTTAAGGATCTCCTCCAAGCGGCAGCAACGAAAAGGGAGTGCAGGGGAAAAAAAACCCTAATTACCGCATTAAGGTGTCAAAATGATGAGCATCATCTGCTTTGTCTGGGCCTTCCTTTTGCCGGCAACAATGTGGCAAATTTAATGAATATGTCAAGTAGTCAGCGCTCCAGAGTGTCCAGTGATAAATCTGCCTTAACGTCTTAGAACGATGGGAACGCGGCCGACATGGACCATGGACCATGGACCGTGGATTTTTCCACAAGGAGGAGTCGCTTTTGGCTTATGGAGCGTGTCTGATCACCAGATGGCAAACATTTTGTCTTTTTGCGCCTGGGAACTTACAGAAAGAACTACGGGGTTTATTTTTAGTGGGTTGTAACTTTGTGGTCAGTTGCTTAAGAGGGACTCAAATGGTGTTGAATGTGTTTAAAAATATCTGTTAATTTTAAAGAAAATTTTAACCAATTTTAATATATTTTAAAAGGTTAAAAATTATATTTTTCAAGTCTTTTAAAACCCTTAAAAATCCTAATTCAGTCTAAACCCCGAACCCAAAACCTAACCCAGGGATTCTCCATGAACGATCGTCCCTTTTTGCTCTTTCCTTTACTCCCTTCCCCCATTTGCCACATTCTTTTACGCTTGCCTTCTTTTCTTCCACTTCTTTGGGTTGTCTTTTTTTTTTTGTGGATATACATAGCTATATACAGACATACATATGTAGGTCTCACTGGACCCAGGTTGAGGTCCAGGTTTGCAGGTTCTCCGGGCTCCCTGTTCCCGGTTTCAGGCTGGTCGGTCGTTCGTTCGTTCCATTTTAATAACATTAATTAAGGTGTTGCCTTCGTTGGTGTTCTTCACGCCTTTCCTTACAAATTACGCAGGAATTTCATGTTTCAGGTTTTGTTTCTGTAGTTTTTCGTTGCCGTTTGCTGTTGTTCTTGTTGTTGTTGTTGTTGTTTGGATCCCGGACAGGCGTTCAAGCGGTCTTAATAGTTGTTCTCCTTTATTGTTGTAGCGCCCCGTCTGCCGTTTGTTTGTTGTTGCTTCTTCTCCTTTGAAGAAACTGGCCAAGAACTGCAATTTGGCTAAAATGGTGTTCCTGCAGTTTGATCTTCGAGGATCGTCCGATCCTCTTTCGATATGTACACCTCCAAATTAAGCCATTAGCTGGGTGTCTATATATGTATGTACATTTATATATTCCCTATATATCAGATTGATATGATGGGGCGCCATTTTAGGCGCCAGTTGAAAGCAAATTAGCCGCTTTACTTGTATATGATTTAAGAAATAATTTTAAAATATAATTTTATTAAAAATTGAAAAGTTAAGAGGTAAATAAATGTTTATTTAGTTTTATAAGAATTTTTAAAGGAATTTGTTTTCGAAGAATGGTTTCGAAATCTTTATAAAATAAAATAAATTAATATAAATTAAAATTTATTAATTTAAAATAAAAAACCCTAAAAATTTTCCTACAAAAGTCATTTAAATTACCTTAAAATTATTCCTTTTTGTTAATAATTTTCCCACAAGTAAAAAAATCTGCATAAATATGCATTTTTCTTTAAAAAACTTACCACAATTTAGAGGGAAATGAGGCAAAAGACCCCTTTGATAGCCACAAGGGCCAAGGTCAGACCGAGGTCAATGGCACTCTCTAGAAGTGAAATAATGGTGGCTGAAGGTAGCGCCAGTCTCGTGTTTAGTTTGTTAGATGGATGACTAATAAGCGTCGCCACAATTAATTGAAATCCACTGATACGCATCTACCGAATGGCTTCAGATACAAGCAAATCTCATTAACGCGCCCAAGATAAAGCCACTGGAATCTGGAAAAACAACGCGCCGGCGGAGGAGAAGAAGCGATGCGATACATACTCCCCATATATATATCTCAACGTACATTTTGTTCAGTCAAGTGAACCAAAGCCAGGCCAGAGCGGGCCAAGAAGATTCCACTTCCAATTCCAATCCCAATCCCAATCTCGGGCCCAATTCTCGTATCCCACAACGTCGGGGGCTTTATAAATGCACGCAGATACAGTTTTTTGTCTTTTGTTTTTTATTTTGTTGTTGATGTTGTTGTTTTTTTTGGAAGTCAAGCGGTTTGCATTTGTACGATAAATAAAATGAATGCGATTGTTAATTAGTTGTTGCTGTTGCCGCCGATCTTCCTGGAGGTATCTTATCGCGACGGCATGGGCTTGTCTCTCCTCTGAATGCTGCCCCAAAATAATAAACCACAGAAGACAGACACACACAGGCAGGCGGACAATCAGTTGTCCAAGTAGGCAAATGGATTGGTCTTTGAGTGGGATAATTCTGGGGGAGAATGCTTTGGTGAGATGGATAGGTTTAAGCTTACCATTAGACTTAAATGAGAATGTCCAAGAGAATTTTTTGAAATTTTTGAAATTAAACTTATTTGATGTTTTCATAGCTCTAAAAAATATATAAAATTAAGTTTTACGTCTACTATAAATTTTGTATATATTATAAATAAAATTCTGATGAAACTCATAGAATTTAAAAATTTGTACATACATAATCTTTGAATTCGATATTCGTTTGCTTTTATAATTTAGTATTTAATTTTTGTAGAAATTTTAAACCCTTTTCTCCCTGAAAAATGTCTCTCAAATCCCACCGACTCTTTTAAAAAATATAAATAAAAAACACACAAAACCTTTTAACCCATTAATCACCATCTTCTTCTGGCCAGCTTTGGCTGCACAAAATTAAAAATTCCCTTGATAAGCCTAACCTCTATAATGCTTCTGCTTCTGTTGCTCACAAACTCACATCACAATATACATATGATATTCATTTAATTACATGCATTTAGCGACATCGATTTGATTTCTTAATTTATTCAGCCAAAGATCGATGGCGCTCGTTCGATCGATCTATCTGTCTGTCGTCTGTGAATCGTAATTTATGCACAATGGGCAAATCAATTTTCATTCTGTTCAAAATGCGTTTTGCATTTCTTGCTTTTTTATACTATTTTGTGGCTTTTGTTTGCTGTTTAGGCAAATTTCTATAGATTTTTATCTCGTGTCGACAACAATAAAATTGTGTTAATTTATGGGAAAGTCAACGGAATGACTATGTCCAAAGATAGATATAGATACACTTGAATGAAACTGGGAACTTGTTTCAATCGATTTGTGTGTTGTTGTGGTTTGTCTTCATTAATTTACGTTTAATCATTTATGCAGATTTCAATCAATGGGCGAATCGATTTGAAATACATTTCCGTTTAGCATATAATTTTGTTTGTAGACACACAATCTGGTTATTTGAAATTCAATTTGTTTGCAATTAATTGGATGACGAGGCGAACGTTGTTGTAAGTAAAAAGAGGGGAAAATTCTTGACTGGAAATTAGTCATATTTATTTTTATAAAGTATCAATAATATCCATACAACTTACCCTTTAAATATGTGAAAAATAATTATAAACTCTTAGTTTTCAGTTTTTTTTTATCTGTTTTTATTACAACTATTTACAAAGCTTACATGAATTGCATATGAATATGATATAACGTAGGCATTTTTATGTGCTTTTTTGTGTGTGTTTTTTTAATTTGTATTTACAACTAGCTAAAAGATTAGAGATACTCGTGTGTTTACTTGTTAGTTAATACTTAAAACGTTTTTTCTGTGTAAGTGTGTGTGTGTTTGTTTTTCTATCACGCGAAATGGAAAGCTTTCAAAATTCTATTTTCCTGACTAAACCGAAAGAAAATAATACAAATATAATAATTTTTGATTTGATCAATCAAAGGCACGTATTGACCGCTCGATGCTCCAGGCACTTTTCGCAGGTCACCTCGCAGCACCACTTGAAGACGCACCTGCAGTTGGTCTGCTCCTCGACAATACGCCGGGTGTGTCCTCGATTGCAGCACAATCGATCGCATCGATCGGATCCCGGACTGGTCACATTGCACTCCCTGCCCTGGGTGCCCAGAGCTCCCGTTTTTGGATTTGCCGCACAAAAATCGGGCGATTCATCCGCAAATACTAGCTGGTACTTATTCGCCGGTCTCGCTCGAGGATTTTCCGGCATGAAGCTGTTGCCATCGTTGCGCAACGCCACCTTACGAGCACTGTCATAGCGATCCCGCAGGCGTCCGGCCACCTCCCGGAAGGGAGGCATCTTTAGCCAGCAGGTTTTCACCGTGCAGGAGCCCGAGAGGCCGTGGCATTTGCACTCTAGCCTCATGGCATCACGAATGGCCTGGAAACAAGTTTAGGAGGTGAAGATTCTAGGGTTATCTTGGCTAGGCTTATATTAAAATTATATTATAAATATCTTCTAAAACTCACCAATCTCCCCGCATTATTGTTGTGCAACTTGACCAGTGTCCCTAGATCACTCCTCCTCTGCCGCTGCTTGGCATCTAGGAAAACCCTCGAATGGCGTAGACCAAAGTTCACATTGTCACTGCAACCACCCCACTCCCACTGTCCTTCTGGGAACTTGATGTTGTCCCAGAATTTGCGACGTCCTCTTCTACCCCCGCCAGGCCTTCGATTTCTTCCGTTTCTGTGCTCCAGGGGAGATATATCTGTGATGTTGTTAAGGCGATTCAGTCGCTGGTGCTGGGCATGCGGCTGATCCTGCAGGGGCAACTGTTGGCGCAGCAAAGCTGCCTGTTGCTGTCGCTCCAAGGTGGCCTCTGCAGTGGCAGCAGTGACCATTACCGGCTGGCCGCCATTACGTCGCATGTGGGCCTTGTCGCAGGAACACTCCACCAGCGTGCCCATCGTACAGGCCTTGGTCACTGCATAGGTCACGCCGGCGGCAGTGATGGCGTTCACGAAACCCGTCTCCCGGGAATCTGGAGAGGAAAAATGAAATGGATAAATGTAAAATAAAGTTAATAGTTGGGAAATGTATATTTTATATTTTTTATGTATTTTTAATGACCTATTCTATCCTCTAAAGGCTAAGATTTAGTCAAGAAAAGCTTTAAAATATATCTAAAAAACCTAAACATTGTTATAAAGTTACATAGAATTAATAAAAAAGCTAAGAGTGCTGAATAAATATCTAAAAACTACCATGTTTTTATTAATTTTTACAAATAAAAATCTTAAATTGAATTTCAATATTTTGTTATAATATTTCTTGACTTCATTTATTAATTATTATTATTTTTCCTCCTAAATTAATCGCTTTTGCTCCTCCTCAAAATGTTTACAACATAATTCTCCTGCCTAAAAGCATAACTCTGTCCATCACATTCCATAAATTATAAATTAGCCCCACGTTCAATCAATCCTCAATCATTAGTGTTGTCAGCACGTGTCGCCTGATGGATTTTAATTTGTCAGGCAGGGCGACAAAATGATTTATTGCTTGTTCGATTAGCGATCACCAATCACCGATCACCGATCGAGGCAGCGAACACTGCTCTCTATGCAAATCACAAATCGCACAGGGACTCGCCGTGGACCTGTGTGTTGACAGTGTCACGTTTTAATGAAAGCGAAAACGAACTCGAAATCCGAATCGCAATTTTAATTTGCATACGAGCTTGTAATGCACTCTGGAAGGTGAAGTGGAGGTTCTTTTTACCACACGACAGGTGATACATCTTGAGCCATACCCAAACAGAGTGTTACATGAGGGATTTTATTTTTTATATTTATTTTTCGCTGACAGGTTGATAGGGCCAAGGCTTTAATCCGAGCAAAAAGGGGGAAATTTTGGTGGTTACTCTTACGGAATTTATGGCACACACAACACCATCGTTTGGTATGTGTTTTGTTTGCGCATTGTTGTCATTAAGTTCAGAGATTGAGGAGTATCCAACAACCTCCTTCTGCCTGCCACTTTTCCTGTGCAATAATTTATTAAAATTGACAGCTTTGTAGGCTCATTTCAGGCGCTATTCATCAGCGCTTGGACGCTGCATTTTTATTATGCAACTTGATGGATGATGCCTGCGGTGTCTTCTGCCCATGACAACCCAAAAAAACGTAAAATAAAAATAAAATAAAAGTAAACGGGGCGTGCAACGATGAGTTGTAATTAGGCGGCTTAGCCCCGCGATAGCATCTCCTTCACCTGGCTTTCCCCTGTGACTCACTGAAAGTGTTGACAGGGCTGCCTGGGTTGGTCTTAAGTCTAGTTAGTCCTTCTGAAAAAACTACTACTTACCGCGCATTAAGATTTTCCTCATGCTTTTGCGCAAAACAGTGCAGTTCCAGCGGCGATTGCGGAATTGAAACTCGCATTCGCGGAAGCCCAGGTTGATGCCATTGATGATGATCTCTTTGAGCAGGGCCGAGTCGTGCCGGCAGATTTCGGCCAGCTTGCCGCGCAGGCGACGTGTCTTTTTGCACATTAGATTGGGATCGAGAAGGATGTTGGTGCCCTCAGCCCTGGAAAAAATGAAGAAAGAGGTCTATGAATACTAGGAATTTTAGGGGTATTAATTTCCTTCAAGCAAAGTATCTCCAAATAATTCATAAAATAATAATTTTACTGACTAATTCCCTTTAGAAATGCATTGCAAATCAGTTCCCCAACTGAGACACACCTTAACCCACATGAATGATCTATAATGTCGTCACAATACCCGATAAGCAATCACGATTTCGTCTATCTATGACTTATTATATTCCCTGAAGGGTTGGTTTCTGGCCCAAACACTTTGTCATCGATGAATAATCCTCGAGTATTTCTCACATTTTGAAGTTTGCCGAAACTTTGGCCATAGGTTTCTAGTATTTTTAGACTGACTCAGAGCTGTGGTGGTGAGCCCCCCTCTCACTTTTATGGCTCCGTGTGCCAAGTATCCAATTGGAATTCGCAATGATGGACAAATCGATCAATCAGTGCTGGAGGCTAAAGCAGCAGCAGGCCCTATTAAATGCTTTATTTACTCGGGAATCGGGATCTTTAGCCAGGCAGAAACACAAACTTTCCACACAACTGAAAATCGGTGCAAAGTTCACGAACAACAACACAGCCAAAGTAAATTTCACGCGAATGTGCAATGTGAAAAAAAGCGAAAAGCCGAGCGATTGAGCTATTAAAAAGTCATAAATCTGAAATGGAAAAACATAAATCAGCGGCAAAGTCAGCGAGCGAGCGAGAAACAGTTTTTCCAGTGGCCGCAGCTTCCGAGTGCTGAGAAGTCAATCTCCATATAGGAATATATATAAGGTATACACATGTACACATACTCGTATATATGCTCAACTGCACCCACATTGTTGGGTAATTATTAATTTTCCACCTAAATTAAATTTTTACGCTGCCGCCAGCAGCCGGCAAATGGCATTCAAAATGAAAACAAAAATTGCATCGATTGGGAAAAATTCTAAAAAAAACTTAGAAAACTGGATGCGGGTTTTGAGATTGATACTTTATTGATTGACTTTTGCCAAAGCTTTGGTCTTTTAGAATAATAAACAAATGGTTAAGGGGGACATTTTCATCGTCGATATTAAGTATACGCCGCTTATGACAGCAGCAACCAAAAATTGAGTTCATCTTTTAAAATTGTTGTTGTTTTTATTTTGGCATTCAGGAAAAAAACGTGGAAAAGTTTCGGCTAAGCAGCATAAATAAATAAATCTATATTTTATGAATGCCTTGGCTGGCGCCACACTTATAATTAAGTGCAAGCCAAACCAACAAATATGCTAATAACTAGATGATATGTGGGTTGGTTCTTGTTGTCTCAGGTATAAATTAAGAAATTTACTGAATTTTTAAAGATGAAAGCGGTAAATTTAAGAAATATTCTTAGGGAGGAAGTGATTTTTTTTGGAATTTTCTTAACCTTTAAAAATATTTTGGAATATTTTTTGTTTATTAAATAGTACAGGATTCTTATTAAAAATATCGTTCTAAAATATAATTATAATCTTGATCTCCTTTATATTATTTATTTTTTATTTAAACCAAAAACCTACAACTATATTTTCGTATATTCCCATCATTCCCGCCCCCCCACATAAGTATCATCTGATAACCCAATTGTGGTGCTCCAAATTTTCCCAGAGAACACACTGGCGCACAGTTGCAAGTAGATAAACCACTTGAAACGCTTCAGAATCCCATTATCGATGCCCACCTGGGTTGCTCCACTTGCCACCTGGCCTGTTGCAGCAGTTCCCTCTGATACACACACACAGACACTCGTGGAGATTATGACAACTTAATAGCCGGACAATGAAAAAAAAAATGAAAGAAAGAAAAAAATCCAAATAACAAATAGAGCAAACACACGCACAAGTACTTAACGAAAATATTAACTCCAAAAGGCAACAAAAGCCATCGCCAAACACAAACTACAAACTTCAAATGATAGACAGCGATGGTAAACAAAGTAAAACAATTGAAGTTCAAATCACAATGATCATCTTCATCGATCGGCGATCTTCATCTGGGATGCTGCTACTCTGCAATGTTGTTGCTGCTTTGATGATGATGACGTCTCGGCTGTGTTGCGTTGCGTTGATGACTGGAGAGATCTAAAGAACTCAAACACCTTTCAACCGCACAAGTTGCCACCACCACCAAACACACACACAACACACAACACGAAAAAGGAAAAAAAAAACATTGAGAAGATTTTTGTTAAGCGGAAAATAGCCGCACAGAGAGTGGAGCAACCGATCGTTCGACACTTTTTGGTTTTTGAAGTTGAACTGAAGTTTACTTGGCAGCGAACTCGGCAGCAGCGGCGAAGTTGTCGGCAAACATGAAAAGGAGCCAGCACAACTTCAGGTCTCTCAGGTCCCTCTACCCATCCCCATACCCAATCCCAGTCCCTCGCATCCCATGCCAGGCACAGGGAGAAATTTGTTAAAGAAATATTTTTAGGAAAAATTTTGAAATTGAAAAAGTTGTAAGGGTTTTGATGGCTAGCGGAACGAGAAAGAATCTTTTCCTATTGTAACTAATCTTATATAATCTTATCTTAATACTTACTTTAGTACAATCATAAAGAGTATTAAATTATATTTATATTTTCTATAATTTCTTTGATCTCTATATATTCCATATAATTTTTTTCTGTGCACTATATACCACACCATATACCGGACCAGTCTAAAACAACACTTGGCAACGTATCTTTATTTTGCCTTCGGTATCTGTGTGTGTTCGCCTCACTTGTCCTGGTATGGGTGTCGTTATAGGCCTCAATGGACTTTCAGTGACTCCTTTCCCTCTCTCTTTGCCTTTTCCCAGACTCTTTGACATTGATCAAAGTGCCCGGTTTGGTTTTGGAAGCCTCCTAAACAGACAAGTGGTTAAAATTTCCCACACAACGCCGAACTTAATAGCTTGTAAATATGGAAAATTGAGCAAATTTTTGGAGCACGATCAAGTGATGCGAAAAAACATATATAAACTTCATTTGCAATCTAAATTTAAGAAGTTCTTGAGTAGGAAATAGATGTATATGATATATTATTATTTATATTTTTAATAAATATTTTTAAAATATATTTTTAATAAATATTTTTAATAAATCTCCTTCTTTTTTAGCCTCCTCCCAGAGCATTCCCTCTTCGTTGCTATTCAGACTTTATCTCAGTTTCCCTGAAAGCAAATATGTAGAATCGTTTGATTGACTCATTTTGGTGAGTTCCTTGTCCACGTTGCAACTCCCTCTTCTCGGCTCTCCCCCTGAATACCGCCGGTGTGGCCGGTGTAAACAAATCAACGACTTAAACCACTTGTCAACATGCGAGTGGCAAAGTATTTAAACAAAGCGTTGACAAGTGAATGAATGGCCATTGGATTGGTCGACCGGCTGCCTTTTTATTTATTTTTTTTTTATTTTTTTATTCCAACTCCTCTGACTGCCTGGGTCTGAGCCTGAGCTGAGCTGGTCCGTTTGGTCAAGTCGAGTGCTGTTGCGGCTGGTCAGTTTCATTTACGCGCTCAAATATTTGTCTACGGAATGCCTCGGCGCAAGTGCTGATCTCTTGTGCATACGAGAGTTCCGGGGGTAGAGAAGCGTTTGATGTGGGCGGCAGCATTGACAATCGATTAGGTTTCCCCGCCACTGGCTACTGGCAAAAAAAAAAACTGAGAAAAATATAAATAAATAAATAAGAAACACCGAAAAGGTGTTGACATGACTGGGAAGTTGGGAACCTGGTGGGTGCGGCTTCGTGTGTGGGCGTCGCACGCTGCTTTTTGGCACCTTATTTTTCAGAAATTTTTGTGATTTGGCCAATTAGCATATTAAGCGCCGCCACTGTGGAATCTATAATATATGTCCTGAAATTCTAAGCAAAAAGAGACACTTATTATTGGGCTTTTTTAGTTTCCTACTAGATTGAATAGTGCTAAAAGGGATTGTCTTTCTATAACCCTTTTTGTTCCCAATTTAATTATATATAAAACTTTATTTAGAAACCCATTTTCCCCTCTTATAACTGGAATTTAAAATATTAGCTTTCCTGTTTGTTGTTTCCCAGGCATGTCCATGTCCAATTGGCGCAACAAAAACGCTGGCTTATAATTCAGGCATATTTACTATAAGTATTTGTCTGAGCCCTGGCTTTGTCATTCCTTTAACAAGCCTCCTTCCTTACCTCCTTTGCCAGTGGGCAGGGCACGACTTCAACTTTAGCCTTAAGTGCCTTTACTTGAGCTTAACTCTTGGCTCTTGGCTGTTAACTCCCTTTGGGCAACAAAGGCGACATCAATCTCGGGGCTTGGTGACTTTGAGGTGCGCAAATTGCGACAACGTTTAACTTAATTATGGCTCAAATAGGCGTAGCTTGGGCTTAAAGGGAATGATCGTGGACATGGTCATGTTCATGTCAAGGATGCCTAAACTGTACTTAATCACAGTGATTGAGGTTGTGAGAAAGAGGAATTGGTTAAGGATTTCAGTTTAGTTTGGAGTTTTGAGTACTAATGACATTAGAATGGGGTAAATATTTTGATAGGACATAATAAATGGCTAAAATATCTATAAAAACTTTAGCTCCTATTAATCAGCTTCCGTACTTTCCCAAAAATCCTCTAGTCTTCTCTGCCTTACAAAATGATGATGACAAGAACATATTCTCTGGCCACTCTCGTCACAATTTGTTTGACAGACATCATGGCCTGTCCCTGGCCCTGGCCCTGCTCCTCCTCTACCTGTTCACTGCCCTCCAACTTGACCCATGTCTGGTCTGGTTCTTATGTTTCGTCATCCAATTTAATTATGATGCAGTCGACAGACAGTGCGAAGACAGACACATTCGTCAATGTGTCAAGAGAGCGAGGGGGAAAGCCACAAATTAACAGAATAAACAAATGGCATGGCATTTAATTAAAAGATTTGCAGCATCTGTGTATGTAGTGGGGGATTTGGTAACTAGTAGCTACTTTTCGGGGTTGAGGTTGAGGCAAAGAAACTTGAACGTGAAACTTTCTCTAGAGACAGAGATCGGGACGAGAGCGAATTGTGTCAGAGACTGTTATTTTATTTATTTAGTGTTGCTCATTTGGCGCTGCTCATAATCAACTCATCTGCATTGGCTTTTTGGCAATTGGCCGAGTTTTGTCTGCTCGTTAGTTGAACATAATTATTGGGTTGTTTTGCTTGCCATTTGTTGGGGGTGTTTGTTGCTGCTGGCTCATAAAGTGTGCCAAATTCGTTGGCAAAGTTGAGATCTCGTGGTTGCACGGGGCGTATGAGCAATGCTGTTGATGCAACCACCGACTGTGGAGCCAGCACAGCTTGAGACTAAGTGGGCAACCCAGCCAGGCAGCCACCCCACACCACCTCACACCCCAACTCACACCCCCTTTTTCGCCTTAACCCATAAATGCCCCGCATGGCATTAATTACCATTTCACATGCTGTGAGTGCCAAAAAAAAAACGTCGAAAGAGATCAGGAGATCTGTGGGCAAGCTGAATGAAAACGATTTTCAATGAATGAAAATGTGTGCAAACGCAAATCGAATGAAAAGCAGGAAGTCGCCAGCAAATGTCAAATGATTTTCCAACGGAAATGAGCTCATTAAGGGCTTTAAGGGGGCCACAAAATCAAACTGCAGATGATCGCATTAATTGCGATGCGAAAGAGAGAGAGAGATCTTCATCATCATTGCCTGGCGGGCTCGCTGGTTTTTAATTAAATTCCAGACACATCAGCGCTAAATTTTTTGCCCCGATCGATTGTAAGTTTCTCTGTAATTGGCTAATGCACCACCCGCACCACCCCCTGCTCGGGCGTCTGGTATTTCCATTCATTTAACGGAACATCTACCCAGCTCCTCCTCTGGCCCCCATCGATTATGATCTCAATCGCTCACACAATGAGCATTTGATTTAGTGCAATTCGCCAGCAAATTTTGCAAAACTACACATAAACAAAATGAGATGCAATTCCAGGGGGCTGTGAACCCCCTAAATCTCAGGCAAATCTATCTAATTCCGGAACCATTGCAAAATGCAAATTGCGCAGATCCGCATTCTACCGCATTGTTAGACCATCGATGGGTTTTGTGGTTTTAGGCAGCTGAGAGATTTATGGGATTTTAATTAATACTTTATAATATCATGGAGACTAATTTGTAAATTTAGTGATGAGATAGGGTTGAGAATTATTTAAGAAAAGTTAGAAGAATACTATTATACGTTTACTATATTTATTTTCGCATTATTCAAACAAATTTTTTATAATAAATTTGAACTTTAATTGCATTATATATTGAGATTCAAGTTGCTAGACCTCACATTATAAACCTGCTAATACAACGAAAAATATTTCAAAATATTTCTTATAATATATTAGAAAAACCTTAACCCCCTAATATAGCCTTTCTTCATTAGATCTTAAGTTATCCCTCAAAATCTTAACACCTTTCCCCAAACACCTTGTTCGTCAGTCAGTTGGTGTGTCATTCTTCATGGCCTGCTGGTTGTCATCAGTTTGGTTTTCTTTCCTTTCTTGTTTGTTTCATAATTTTTGGTTACATCTCTCTCTGGCAGTCCCATCGCCCTTGGTCGGCACAGATGAAGCGCAGAAAGTGGCACAGCCAAAGGCAGTTGTTTCGCTTGTTTTATTTGATTTTTTTCGGTGCATCTTTTGGGTGGTGGTGGTGGCGACATCGTCGTCCGGTGCATGGCCACATCTCGTTCAGCGTTCGACATCAAAAGGCGGCGGAAAAGAACTGACAGCTCTGAACTTGAGCTTTAATTATTTAATTAATTTATTGTGCAAAAAGTGGCAATTGAATTGGATGCAGCATGGAAACACCCAGCCACTCTGCCCCTTTTTATATTTTTTGCAGGTGTCCACCTTCGTTTGCTGACGCGCCCAGTTGCACACAGCTCAGATTAAATTAATGTGGGGGCAGAAAATAAATATATATGTATATATAATATCGAAAATGTTAGCCAAAAACATCGTCATGCAGTCTACGCCACGCGACTCCCACGCCGCCCCCTCCTCAGCTGCCGCCCTGCAAAATTTCACCTTTCGTTGCCGTTGACAGCGACAATATTTCTACCTTTTGGCAAATAGAATTAAAATAAAATAAATGCCAAAGCACAGAATTCATTGATGCCACTTTGCTGGCAAATATTTTGGCAAAGTGCATGGCTTGTGTGTTCCCTCTCACTATTTTTCTTTCTATTTGATGTTTGTCCTCCTCGGTTTGTTTATTTATTTATTCATCTCGTTGGACGCCTTTTCGCCTGTAATTTCGCGCATAAATTGCTCCAAGTGTCATTTGGCTTTTCGGCTTTATCCCGCACAGCCACGTTATTTATTTTGGCCACAAAAAAGAAAAAAAAAAACGGAGGCAAAGTTGCCATGTAATTAAATCTAAGCCAAACGTCACATTTTGAAGGTCCATCCGCCGATTCGGTCGCCACGCTCGATTGGCTTCGATTTGGATTTGCATTTGCATTTTGACCATTTAGATCACCAGCAGCGTTCAGCAGCCGTTTTTGCATTTATTTTGGGACCTGCACTTTTTTATTTTCTACCGGAAGCTGTTACGCCAATCTCTATCTCGTAAATTGATGCGTTTTGACATGGGCACAGATGGTCTAGCCTGGTCTGGTCTGGTCTGGTCTGGCCTGGGCCAAAGCGACAAAGACCTCAAAGCGGGTGGTAATGGGTTTTTTGGCATTGAAACAGAACATAAATTGCATGTTGAGAGGGGACCAAGTTGAAGCAACTTTGTTGGCCAAGTTGCACTAGATAAAAGAAGAGCATTTAAAATAGGGAAATCTAATTTATTTGCTTGTGTTTAGCAGCAGTAAAACCTTTTTGGTAAATAGATAATGTGATTATCTTTAAAGAAAAAAATTTATAAATATTTTTAAAGCTACTTTATGCTTTGTAAAATATAATTAAAAAATAATAATAATAATTTTAGAGCTACTTTTTGCTGAATAAAATATAGCAAAAACATTTATAAATACCTCTTCCTAGTTAACGCTTAAATAAATAGTAGCAGTAAACTCTTTAGACTAAGAGATCTTGTGTTTATCCTAAAAAAAAATATTTAAAAATATTTTCTGTTGCCTTACGCTTTATAAAATATAGTAAAAATATTACTAAATATATCTTCCTAGTTAAAACATTATTAAAAATAAAATAAAGTACTTTTTAATATATATTTCAGTGTTTCTTGTGCCTGCGTTGTATGAACAGAAATAGAGGAATCCCAAAATTGAACCAAATTGCTAGTTTTAATGATTTTATAAAAGTATAAAAAAATAAAAATCTAAATAGCAAAGCCCAAAATAAAATCTGTAGGAGCAATAACACATACATATGTAAGCAATACATTAAAATTGCATTAAAAATAAACAAAAACTTAATCCAATTAGTATATATAGTCTATTTAAAACTCTATTCTTGAAGATAATTAGTAGTTGATTATTTAAACATTAATCATTATATTATTTATCTGATAAATTAACTTTGCAGTATTGTTTAGATTTCCCCAATCAGGCATAGTAAATGATCAATAACAATTACAAATATATTTTCTTGAATCTCTAATTAATTAATCATATAACAATTATCTCAATACCACTTACCAGCCGAATCCAGTCATTGGCATTGCGAATATTAAAATTGCAATTACCATGAGCAAACGCATATCGATTGAAGCCGCCAAATGCAGCGGCAACAAACCAAATTCTGGCCCGTTGAGCTGCTCGATAATGAGATGTGCGTGGCGTTTTTTTTTTTAATATATTTCCCGGAGAGAGAGTGTTGTATTTATATATTGTTTTTTGTTTTTGTTTTGTTTTGTTTTGTTTTGCTTTATTTCTTTTGGCAGGTAGTTAAAGTTAAAGCCTTTTTTATTGCGGCCACGATGAGTACACGAGATGCTTATTTGAATATCGTTGACGTGTGTGCGAAATTAATCAAGCGGCTCGAGTTGAGTGGATTTTTTTTTGTGATATATATATATTTGGTCAGCGGGGAAGTTGGCAGAATCCCCGGCGACATGATCACCTGCCTGCCTGCCGATCCTGAGGTGATCTTTCTGTCCTGTTTCTTTCACTTTTTTTACGTACAGAGTAGGATGCTGCTTCAGAGGCTGCGTGGTGCTCGTACGCACGCGGAGAAAGCTGCCGGCGTACTGAGCGGCGTTTAAAGGGAATGTGGCCCAGGAGTAGTCGCCAACGTCGTCGTCGTCTCGGCCAGGTCTCGCGAAGCAAACAAAAAAGTTCCAGGCCAAAAAGTTGAACAGCGAATCAAAAGCCCGGCCAAGGGTGGAGTCCAACTTGGGAATTGTTTTTTTTTGGTTTTCTTTTTGCGTTAAAGAGGGGAGGATATAGGGGGTATATATAAATATATATATATATATTGGAGGATATCCAGGGAGTAGCGTAAAAAAACGAAATTAAACGCGCGCTTTAATCAGAATCCCAGACCGAAGACCCGAGAAGCGCGCGACTCTGCTTTTTGTCCGCACTTTTTATTTAGCTTTTTTTTTTATATTCGTGGCTTGGTGTTGCCTTCTGGCTGGATCTCCTGGTTTTTTTCGGTTTTATTTTGTTTTTTACTCTGATTTTTTATACGTTTTTTAATTTTGTTCTTTCTTGAGGTTGTGGCGCATCCTTTGCGCCCGTTTTTCCCATGTTCCCAACATTATCCACCAGCGAATTCTTCTCGCGATCGAAACACTCGCGCTGACTGACCGTTCGTACGGATCTGAGGGATCGCCAGCCGATCGCCACGAGAACGTAAACTCGGTGAGTGCTACGAGTATATAGCGGTGGCTATAACAACCGTGGGATTTTCCACCTCCTCCGCGCTCTCTCGCGAAAAACTCACTCGCGAAAAAAGTATAACGAACGCCGATCGGGCGGGCTCTGGCTCTTGACTGATTCTGCGGATCGCCGTGGATCGGGAACGGAACGGATCGGATCGGATCGGTTTGGATCGGGGAGAGATCTCGCCGCCGACCCCAACGCAATGTATAAAAACACTATGAATGGACGTCGGTTGTCGGTCGGTTGTCGGATCGTTTCTGATTGTGATACGTCGCCGTCGAAAAGTCTCTTCCTCCGCTGACGCTCTGTTTGGAAGCGTGAAAATTTATTTCACTCATGCGCGTTCCGACCGCTCAAAAAAATGAAAAAAATCTGTGAGGTTCGGGTCGGTTCTGTTCTGCTCTGCCCTGCTCTGCTCTGCCGGGTTCTGATCTTCTTCTAACGCCTCCGTCGCAGTCGCAGTCGCAGCCACAGTCGCCGTCGCCGTTGACGTCTCAGCTGGTAGTTTACGTGTTGATTTTTGAGATATTTTCTAATGTATCTGTAAGATTGTGTTGGATGTGCCTGTGCTGCCTTACTTTTCGACGGCCTGGGGGGGTTATGGGCTGGCATAGTGCCCGCCATTTGTATGGGAACTTGGGGGAGAAGTGGTAAAATATTGTGATTTTGGGGAAAGATCATAATATTTAAATTTGAGTATTTAAATACAAAAAATGTCCTTAAAACCATTTTACATTGATATATTTCACCCTTAGATTGGCTTAATAATCTACAAACATACTTTAAAAAACAAAACTTTAAATATGAAAAATAATTTGGTGAAATCTAAAAATAAATAGGATTTTCAAAACCCTTTAATCAGTGCCCCAAAGTATGCAATGCAATTTTAAAGGTTTCGAATTCATCGATCTTTGGTTTTTGTTATGTTTTTTAAAAACCTCAGAGATCTAAAGTGCATTTAAAATTTAATTTTTTAATATTTAATTTTTTTATTTAACTAAGTATTTCATTTAATTATAAATATTTAATATATTTTTTATCGATTTAAATATTTTTTTTATTTATTTCTTACTTTCCCCTCTTTTAACCATATTTTATTAAATATTTTCCCACATTGCCACTCACTTTTCACCCTCACTGTTGACTCCACCACTCGGTTACGGTTACCTACTCCGCTCGACATCACTCCTCCGGGTTTCCGTTTCGGTGACATTGCTCTCCTATCCCACTCCGTCGCACCTCTGGATCACCGATCTCCCCTGCTCCACATCCCGCCCTGAAATTTTACTCCTCCGCCCCCGCTTTCTGTTTTGGCCGCCGCGAATTGTTTACACGCGACAAACTTGTCATCGTTTTTTTTCGTGTACATTTCGGATGATAAAAAAAAAGGTTAGCGACTTTGTCTTTGGCATGTTGTGGCCCCTTGTTGGGCTAGGCCACGAGCTCAGGTAACAGCAAATATAGGAAATATATATAACATATATGAAAGATTTAGGCAGGCTGATGGTCAAAAGAGGGAAAGAGCCAAGTCAAGTCGCATGATCATAGAAATTGTGACACTTTTGGTTCCACTGTCCAGGCGTCAGAGTTTGCATATCATCTCCGGCTCCGGCTCCGTCTCCAGACACGTAATAACGCTTTGGGTTCGTATCTGGGCGGCTAATCATTCTCAAATACCATAAACAACACAACTCGCAGAGCTCTCAGCTGATGGCCAAGAGGCTAAGGAAAGGCAGCTAAAACCAAAACGGGAGCAGCTACCAAAAGCTTAGTCAACAGTCAGCAGAAATCTTGGCTAATGGCGTGCTAATCTCGTGCTGCCGTTTCTAAAAAGCTAATCTGAGGTTTTACTTTTCAGTAATTTTAAATTTTATAAACTGTACTAGGAATAGAATTAGTTTTAATATATTTTTACGGAACATTTATGCAATTTAAAAAAAATATAACAAGTAATATAAAAGCTTTACTTTATATCTAAACTAATAATCATTTATTTAAGCTTAGTTAATTTCTTCTTCACATATTTGTTTTACTTAAAAAGGTTCATTAGCAACAAATTACTTTTTTAGCTTGCTTACTTATGAGATTAATCATTTTGTTAAATGTTTGTTAGTCTGTCCGATTAAATCCACTTAGTTTGCTCTGAAACTTTCCACATATTTCACTTCCTCTTTTTATTTTTGTATGTCAGTTGGTTTGTTCCTGTTAATCTATAATTTCTAAGATAAATGTTTGTTAATTATTTTCAGAAATTTTGTAAAAACCTGAAGTTATGTAGTGAATTATAATAATCTCACACTGCTTATAAATATATTTTAAATAATTTAAAAATATATATTATATTTTATTAATACCACACATTATATCACTTATATTTTAACCCATTTTATATGTTGCTAATTTCTTTAATATTAATATGTTTAATTTAAAATATATTCCAAAATATTTCTCCTTTTTCCCCCTAAAACTCCTCAATCCACCCTCCAAGTAAAGTCGTCAACATTCAGCTCGATGATCTCGATTTGTCTGGACAGCTGTACAACTCTGCTCAAATATGGGCTAATCGCTGTAGATGCCCCTCTTGATGATGCTTCTTCTGGCTGCTTGGCGCTTTTTTGTTTGTTTATACATCTGAAAGTTATTTTTCTCTTTTGGGCAACTCAAAGATTTCGGCAGCATTTTGTGATTGTGTTCCTCCACTTAATTGCTGCTCGAATCTTGTGGTTTTATGGTTTATGATACAACTGCGCCTGTACCCACTGTGCAGGAGACTGGGGGCCGTGGCGGGTTGTCAGTCTAAAGTTCACAAGTTGTCAAAATGTTTGCGCTGAAGTCTCAGACTCGGACTTATCTGACTGTGTTAACACATAACCAACACTGATGGACCAGTTCGAGATCTATTTTCTTTTCGAGTTTGATGGAGGCTGATTCAACAAATAAACAAAAGGTGTTTACCACACAATGAGAAAAGTCTTTATACCATAGGGAATCTATAGATTTTAAAGTGATGAGTTTGAATTTGATTTAAAAAATAATAAATGTTTGTTGAAGCATAAAATTAAACTGAGATTAAATATTAAAATGTAGAAATACATGAGGCTTAAAAATAAAAATAGACACTGACGAAGCTGCTGAAAAGCCACCCCACACAATACACCCATACTTTTGCTGAAAAAACAATAAAAAAATAGAAAACCCAATGAGAAGAAAAGTCAGACAAGCAATGATTAATGGATGCCAAACGATTGTGAAATTCTATAAACAAATTCGAGTCAGAGACAAAGGCTTTAGCAAGGAGGGAGTAAAAGTGCATTTGGCTTCGATCACCTTTCCGAATCAACTGTCAAATCTCTGTGATGTTCACCTGAGATCAGAGATCTCTGCCTTGGAAAAGAGAGTGAGTGAGGGAAAGGCGCTTCTCTCGCACTATCAATGGGGCGGTAATAAAAACTTTATGGCCTCCCAGAAAAAAAAAGAAAAGCTGCCTCAGCAGCAGCCACAATTCTTTTAAGTGCCCTCCATAGTAATTACTCTCAAGCCCAAAGTCAGCTGAAAAATATGCCACTACAGATCCACAAACATCGGGTTTTGTATATATAGTTCTTTGCCGATAACCAAACACTTTTGTGGGGGAGGGCGCTACACGGACTGTTTGTGGTATTGTTCAACCGAATGACCGATTCGGGGAACCGATTCTGCCACAAAAAAAGATGAAAAAAAGCTCACTCAAAACGGCTTTAAAGACTCCGAAGCGAAGAACAACAAACAAAAACGTCGTGTTATGAGCTATTAACGTAATTGGAAAATGGCATTGGGGGGAATTAGAGCGCTCTTTGATGCACTACAATGAAAAAGTGGGGCTACTTTGGATTAAGAAAAATAAACAGAAACCAAAAATTGAATTTTATGGAAAAATCACTAATTAAGCTTAGCCGAAAGGGAGGGGGAAACTGACTCATACTTTGAATAAAGAATATTGGGGGTAAAGATAACGTAGATATATGAATATGCAAGAATTCAAAAGAGATTAGACATACAATTACTTAATATTTATTCTTAAATTAAATTAATTATATACTCTACTTTACAACCTATAAATATGCAACACATTTTGCTAAATTCTTAAGAAATCTAATCAAGTTTAGAAGATCATACTAAATTACCTAATATTTACAAAAATTAATCCAAAACCACTCTCTCTCTCTCTCCCTAATTTTATTGATCTGTTTTTCCTCACAATTCCGCTCATTTTGAGGTATCTGTGTCTGCCTCGGACTTTTTTTTTAGCTTGTAATTAAAAACGCATAAAATCGAAACAACAAAGTAGCCCCACAACAAGCACAAACACTGAAAATGTTAATACTCTGGCTGGCATTCATTTTTACGCAATGTTCTCTTCATAATTCAATTGTTTTTATTGTGTGCGCCGACACACACACGGCGGCCATAAAATTTTATTAATTTAATTGGATTTTTTTTTTGCTTCTACCTTGGTCGTAATTAACGTAGAAAGTGCTGAGAGCGAGCGGCCACAGGAAATGTTTCTTTCCTCTTCCAAAAAAAATTTTAAAATTAAAAAAAAAAAAACAATCAAAAACCGCAACAAAAAACAAATTTAGTTTATAAATTATTTCAAGCTTTTATTATTATTTATTTACCACTTTTACCACCCATTGTTGCTTAAACAATTAAAAAATACACACACAAAAAGCCCGAAAAGAGCCACAAAAAAATAATATATATTTCGAGTCAACTGCTTGGCTTTTTTACGAGCGATTCAGTTGATTTACTAGCCAGCCCCCGAAGAAGTATCCAAGTATCCACGGATCCACGCATCCGAGTATCTGTGAGATACTTGAGTATCTGTGCGAGACGGGCGTGTTGAAATGGACAGTCAGCATCAGAAGCGGCCGAGTACTAAAAGAGATTTATGCCCATTTTGTCAGCTGCTCACTCACTGTAGACATTCCGCTCCCAAGTTCAAACTCTATGAAAATGGATTTCAACATGATCTTTTACTGGCCAACATAAATAAGCCCCCCCTATGTATTTTTTGGCCATTTCCATTCGCGGCCATTCCTGGTCACCTACCGAAAAATAAGTGCCAGGGCTTAATTAAGCCACCATCCCCGAGGTTCCAACACGAAGGGGTTCGCGGTTCGCGGTTCGGGTTCATCATAAATTGGTCTTAGTGTGGCCGGGCTGATGCCGAGCGGTCCGATCAAAAACAAA